CGTGATGATAATAATATACAGAGTAGTATTTATCAGGAGATAATTGTAKTATTCTTTAATAATTTGTATTATTTATTCAAGGATCGTCCTGTTGAGATGATGGAAACTTATTTTTTAAATGAAATTTATTTTTATTTTTTTTTTTATATGCATAATATATATTTATATATGTATCTTAGTMGTACTCTATATAGTTCTCTTTTCTTGTCATCGTCGTGTTAAATCGCTGCTAGTAACTCGATTGACATAAATCATTGGTAGGCTAATGATGAAAATATATTGTTGAATGTCATTTCTCTGAATGACAACCTATTTATATTTTATTGACCCGGTATCAAATATAATGTTAAAATAACAACAATAAGTGGTTGTATAAATTATCGTGTCAATTATAATATTCTGTTATTATGRAAAGTATTCTGTTATTATTATAACAACATAATATGAATAAAAGGCCCACGTCACATGGTATTTTTGCAACCATTCTTCAATATCCATATTAATCGTTTCTATATAGTTGTTTCAACATAACTATACTAGTTCTACACATATATTGCGACTACACGTCATCACATAATCAAAGACGACTTGTATATAGACAAAAAAAAAAAACTGGATATTCAGTAGGAATCTTATTTATCAATATGCCTGCAATGTGACTATATATTATGTACGTTTACCACTTAAGATTATCGTTTCGGGTAGCCCTATCCGCTCATCGCTGGTTCGACAGAGTGACTACTATCAGCTCTACACTGAGCTCAGCATGCGGTCGACGGTCGCAGCCTTCAGGAAATCTCACGACGTTGACAAATATCAACCGATTTTTTTTTTGTTCTCTCTATCTGTCAAACCATCACTGCATGTAACACACATCGGGTTCGTTATTATACAGGGTAATGAGCGCGATCSTGTCTTGAAGTGTCGCGAGGAAAACTGATGATTATAATATACTTGTGGTGGGTGGGCTATATTCTCTTGAATACAGCGACATTGAGCAAGCGGAGGAGATGGRATAGTGATAGTTATGTAGTTTAAAATTTAAAATTTAAAATTTTAGTGATAACTAAAAATACAGAATTCTAGTCATTTAAATATATTTAAGATTCTGATATCCATCTACCCCCGGCCTTGGTAATTATATATGTATAGGGTTAATACCCCCTAATGGGTCCTACCATCACTCTCACTGGATATCTTATATTTAACTATCCCCCTCCCCCCCCGACAACATTGGCGCCGCAATGAGCGGTTAGATAACTTATATATATAAAGTATCGACAACTCACTAGCCGTGACATATACTAACATGCTATTWAAAAAAAAAAAAATACAATATTCAGCAGTTTAATAAAGAATTATAGTTTCCCTTTTTATAACTTATACTTACTTATAATCATATTATTATAATCGTATTACATATTATGCAAGATATCGATCACAAAAAYATAAAAATAACAGCACAAGCTAGAAAAATTATAAAATATCATAATTTAGTTGGTGTGATTATTTTTTTTTCTTTTTTTACCGGAAGGTAGGTACGGGTTTAATTTCGTGATCGTGTCGTTAAAACCACTCGCTTTTTTATTGGTCGACAAACTCTTATACCGCATTTTTACAAGTCGTTTCGCATATAGGATTGCGAAAACATTATATTAATAATTTTATTATTTATTATTATTTTTATGTCAAGGTTTGGCGGTATATCGTGCCTTTATGATGATGATGATGATGACGCGTATCTATTATATACCGTATATTATATTAAATTATATATATATATGTATACACATTTATAGTTATATCGACGCCGTTCTAAAATTTATTAGCGTTTTTTTTTCTACTGTACGCGGCTCAAAACACTGCCAAATAGTTGTGAATTAATTATTGCTAAAATTCGTTTTTGCATGTGCCCACGCCATGAATTTCCCGTCCCATTTCGTTGAAATGCACAATACTACTATAATATTCTTTGCCTTCGCGATCCTCCAAACATTGTAATAACATATTATTGTAATRKCTATGGGTGCGATATATTTTATTATCACGATCGACGGTCGTTTCGAGCCCACTAAACGCGCGATAATTAAATCAAACCTATAGTGTCATTATTTTTAACCAAACATCTCGCTGCGGTATACCGTCGTCGTCGACAAATAACGTTTTAGGCATCCGTATAATACGATTTAGGTGTAAGAGTATATATATCATATACCTACACGAGCATTCGTGTAATATATTATTATCATTATACATGGCGACGACGACGAGGAAATTACGGTCACCACCCGGAGCGCTGCGAYGCGGCAAACCTATATTATTATAATTATGTTTGGCGGGGGACGCGGGTGTGTATGTTATTCATAAACCGTTTTTATATATAATTGTGTATACACGACGTATGTATGATAATACAGCCGTGTCGGTCYGTGGACACTACACATAGATATTAAAATAGCCGAAAAGTCAGAGATAGTACATATAGTATTACTATTCAGCGCAATCATCCATTCGCATACGTTGTATTGTTCAGAATTAAATATTAACAWATATAAAAATTTTCATCTACCTGTTTTAACTARAAAAATCGATAACACCGACTTATCTGTCGAATTGAAACGTTGTTTATATTTTATTCGCAATTTATATGTTTTTTCTGTGGAATTCGGAAGTGACCTCGGACAACAGTGCTGCAATAATATTGTAATGTTATTATGACCGCTCGCACCAAGTAGTGCTATAATATTTGGTGAACAATAATAATGATAACAGTAATATATCTTCGCCGCCTTCATCCATTGAACGTGAGAGGGATGGAGATGCTCACATACCCTCATATACCTACAAACGCTCATAAAATATTATATGTGTGTGAGTGCATAATACGGGGATGGCCGTAATTAATAATAAAAGCCGCTTCCGAGCTGCACGTCCGACGAAAACGATAATTCATAAAATATAATATTCCGACTTAACGGATAATTATTAGCYGTGCTTTGTTTCACCTGCGCTTTTTCACCGTCTATGTACCTACCTAATATATATATATTATATTATATACATAACATGCTCATATATTATATATTTAAATATATATACATATGTACGCGCTTAAACTGCAGGTGCTACTCGACGATGRTATGTCGGTACTGAAACTATATATGCTGTGATGACGACGACAAGTTGCGTACGATCTCTTAAATTGTATACTGTCGAAATGGCGGAAGATATAAAATCCAATCGATTTGAAATTATTATATTTTATTTATTATTTTTAGTATTATTGTRCGTACCYAATAGGTTGTATATATGTCGAATGTATATACGAAAAACGAACTCGTATAGTTTGCATACAGCACGATCATACGAGATCAATAATTTTATCTTCGATTTGCAGAGAATATATTATGATATAAGGACTCGTCAGAAATGTAGATCGAGTTTATAATACTATTGAATTGTTGAAATTCATACATTTCTTAACCTGTGGTCAGATAGAACTGCTAACTGCAGTAGTGCAGTGCATGTGCACTCGGGGCAAATGATTATAGCTCGAGTTTAAATAAAATTATACTCTACTAAGTTTCTTTTTCTCAAGCCTCTCTGCAGCGAATGTCATGTATTATTATAGTGTTGTATAAAACCAGTCCACAATTATTTGAGTCGGAGTATATTATATTCAATTTTAATCGATTTTTTTTTTCATAATCAACTATTACATATCGTTATAATATTTGTACCGTATAATACATTCTAAAACAACAACTATTATTACAGCTACTTATATATAAGATGCATATACTTTTCAACCGGCAGACTCGACGCACTGCACTACGACGCAAATATATCTATTTATATGCAYATTACGGATATCCGATTGAACATGTAACAACCGTCAGTGAAAATCTTTTTGATTGAGTAAAAATGTCTGCTCTCGTAATGGCATAATATAATATATTGTAGTCACTCGCATCGATAACGTGAATGAAGTATATATATATACAGTATATATAAAATATAAATTCATACTTTCATAAATCGTGTGTGTTACATTAAATAGTTTATATTTTATGATCAAGCAGTGAATTTTATTTTTAACCTATTGATGTTTAGCAATCTTTTGTACAAAAAATAAAATWAAAATAACGACATGCATTAGGAAGTTGACTGAAAGTTACGACAATATTGTTATATATTTATAGTCGTAGAGCATTAATAAGTTGAGTTCTATATAAGTAAGTATATACTTTCACGTTTTCGTTACAACGAATTACAAACTATAAGTTAGTTGATGCACTATATAAAGAATGGAAACTAACCGATAGAGTTATAAAATTGTTATCGCACAAGTAACTTATAAACTTAATTTTAACTTTCTAAACAAGTTAGTGGCTCGGCTTTGCAAGTAATGGATGCGGSACGTCCGACCTCGTCACACGTGTGGGGATTGATTGTGATCGTATAATACAGTTAAACTTTAAATTCGTATATGTACAAAGTACGGACTCTTAATACYGATTAACAATTATTAATACCTGTATGGTAGTAGCACTATAGGTAGATACCTAATATATGTTGTCAATAAATGTCATATAAAYTATTAAAAAACGCAACACGTGTGGTGAGTAATAATATAAAGGTTTACATCATATATTCATATTATTTTCCATTATCTATATTATACATGTATTCATCATATAATAAGATTAATTAATTTAATAAAATTTAGTTTAAAAGCGTGTTTTGAAATTATTAGAGTGATAGTTAACAATTAGGTTTTTATGAAATCATAATGCTGCTGCTCATATTGTTGTATATAATTAACGAATTAGATTACAGATTATATTAAATTTCATGTTATAAACAACACTTGGGTCTTGGGTCGTAGGGGTGAAGCTACTGGTATCATAAGCCGTCCGGAGGAGGGGGGTCATATGTTTAATAAAATGTATGTTCCGTTTGCAATATTATTTGGTTTTGACGACCGTCGTGGTTTTCAGGAGGATGTTTCCCACACTGCGCGTGTGCTTCCGGAAGCTGGACCCAAACCAAAAGTATTCGGTGCTAATAGACATTGTGCCGGTGGACAACAAACGGTACCGGTACGCATACCACAAGTCATCGTGGCTGGTGGCCGGCAAGGCGGATCCACCAGCCCCGCATCGGCTGTACACACACCCCGATTCGCCGTTCACGGGTGACCAGCTGCACAAGACGTTTGTGTCGTTTGAAAAAGTCAAGCTCACCAACAACGAGATGGACATCAGCGGACAGGTGAGAGTGATTTCTTATGATATATTGCTAATGRCATGTTCTCAAATTTTGTCAAAACTATAAATCTTACATTCATTTAAATTATACATCTCTATATAGATGAGTATTATTGWCTTAGCGTCATAACTCATTGTAAAAGTTGATTGAAACATAATTGGATGATGATACTGAAATTTATGAATTTAAACTTTACGTAATATACGTAATACTAATAATATATATAAACGTTATTTTTTTAAACATTTAATTTACACTGAAACGGATAGTGGTTATGACGCAAATTTAAATTATAAAAGTATTACTTCTAAGACTGAAAAAGTTAACACCATCACTTAATTTGGTCCACGGTCTACGGTTACCATTTACCATAATATATTTGATCAACAGACATCGAAAATCGAACATATAAATTTTCATATAACACTATATTAACTATATTATACATTTTGCGAGTCTAAATTATGAAAGTCGTAAACGGCTTATAGCAAAACGTTTTTTTTTTTWAATTTTTTACAATACGTATCTATTTCACGTTAAGAGCGATTAATATAATAGTATATAATAAAAGGATATGGTATATTCGTATGCTATAATTAATAATATTACACTTGATCTGTGCGGTCTTTCGCCGGTGAAACTGAGTCGAATACAATATTATGCAGTAGACGTGCGCACAAAATGGCTCTCTTTAGATCTATTTCTTTGTTTTTTTCTCTCTGTGTGAGCGTATCCMATTTTGACAAGACGCGATGATTGATGAACGATATATTATAAGGCGCAGCGTATAATTATATTATATATATATATATATATATATCTGTGTTGCACGTGACACCGTCGGCGGTGACGTGTCAACGGGGAGAGACGCGAACAAGAAAAAGAAAAAAAAGGAAGAGAGGAAAAAATGCTTTTTTTTCGTGGCCGACGAGAGACACGGCCGGCGAATGTGTTAGGACGAAGAAGTTGGTCGGACGGACGCAAAGGTATCGAATGACGCGGGCGCGCGTATTTTCGACTTGTCTTGCACAGGTCTTAGACACCATCATCGCCGCCCTCGTCGACCTCATCACATACTTACGCACAGCTGTACACGCTCAGAATTCGGGACTAGTGTGTACTAAACGTGCGCAAATAATTTTTTTCCCTCCGAGATTTAAGCTGATTAATGYGTTTTCCGAATGCTTCTCTTTCATCAGAAACAGATTAAAATAATCGCCGATTCCGCAGTACCTAAACATTTGGTTTAGTTATACCATCATATWAAGTGTCCGATGAGCGTAGGTACAACAATAAAACAATTTTTTCCGCGTTTCCCATGTATGATCCAACAGCAGGACGGTGACGTTTTATAATTTTTTCTTCGCATTGAGAAATATTATACATACTT